AATGGAGTTACAACAGTTACACACGCTCCTCCCCATTATGGTTGAGAGGCCCGAGTGGACAGCATTGATTACTTCCATTTGGAAGGATGTACCACCCCTCACCCCTGCCTAAGTTAGCCTATCAGTCTTTGAGTCGAGTCCTACTTTGTCTGCCAGGGCTTCTTTCTGAGAGCAGGTGCCTATCCCTTGTAGCCTGGTCCTACTTGTTCTTCCCAGCTCGCTGACTGTCCTCTTTTGCTTTGCGTACCGGAGTTACTTGGAGGGTCTAATGCTGTCTGGCTTTCTAAAACCCTAAACCCTAAGACTCTGGCTCTAAAAAGGGTTCTATTATGTCTCTGTTTTTCTGCCGAGGGCTAAAGCCCAATTACTTTGCTTACCATGTCTCCTTTTGTCCCTGTTTTCTGTCTCATGTTAGCCGAAATGGCCTCTTTTATCCTTGTGTTTTATTGCTGCAAACAGTGGCTATGGATGTGTTTTCTGAGGGGCAGAAGTTAGGGGTTATGGGGAGAAAGGATTATAGATTCAGGGGCTGATTGCTTTGTGTAGGGGAGGAGGTATTCGATGTGGATTAGTGGGGTTCGTGGGTATTGAGGTTGGTGATGGTGTTTTGTGAGGGCTTTCGAGGGGAGGGTAGATTGACGTGAGAGAGGCGAATGGGTTGGGTGTTTCGTTGGTCAGAGTGTTAGTTTTGAGTTGGGGTTTGGAGGGTAGTGGCTTCACGCTGTGAGCTATGATTTAGGAGGGGGGGTATGACTTCTGTCGGTTTTCCTGGTTTATGGATTTTTGTGACTCAGATGTTATCTTCGGTCCTGACTTGTGGTCCAATGGGGTTTGTTGGCGTTGTGTTGGTTAGGGGGTCAGCACTGGCGTTGTGTTTTATGGGGGTGCGGGGTTGGTATTGTTAGCCAATTTTTCATGACCAGTCTGTTTTCTTTTATTGTGCCTAAGTTACCTCTTCCTAGTTTGAATGTCTTGAATCTTTGGATTATACCTGTTTTCTTATCCGGGTTACTATCAATTATGGTCGTATTTTTCTTCCACATGGCGAGTAATTCCGTTTCTATGAGATGCTTAATGGTAATGAGGGGGTTGTCAGGAATGGTGTGATTGTTCTCAAAAGTTTGAGAATTTACTTAATTCTAAAATATTTTCGAGGTTCAAAAATTCTGAAAAAGAATTAATTAAAATTATTTTAGAAGTTCAAGGAAGAAATGCCGGGAAAGAATAATTAATTCTACGTATTTTCAAAATTTTCGACAAGGAATTAATTAGGAGTATTTTCGAATCACGAAAAATAAATTTTCGAGTTCCAAGAAATTCAATAAAGAATTAATTAAAATTATTTCGAATTTCGAGGAAGAATGCCGAGAAAGAATGACTACTTCTACGTATTTTCAAAAATTCCGAAAAAGAGAATGTTTTTGGAAAAGAAATGTCAAAAAAGATAATTTAATTACAAATTTCTGAATTTACAAGAATTTCAAATGAATTCTGTGAAAATAATAAAAATAATAATAAATAAATGAAGGAATAATCCGAATACATGAGTATTGAAGTAAATAGAGGGCGGAGCGATCCTATCTATGATTGATTGGGTGGTAGCGTGGTAGGTAGGGTTAAAAAGGGGGTTTGCACGGGTAGATTGATGATGATGATGATGATGATGATGATGATGATGATCATCATCATCATCATCATCATCATCATGGTGAGGAGGTGGAAAGTGGGGGAGAGTCGAGCAGGGGGGGGGGAAGGCGTGCAGCGCGTGGTGGGGGGGGAATCGGGCTCGGGGAATCACGCGGAAATCACGTGGGTTGCGCATGGGGAGGAGGAAGTATGGGGGAGGAGGCCCTGGTTGGGGTCGGGGG